TATGGTAAATGATGAGCTGCAATAACAAATATTGCAAAGGTAAAATTACGAGTGAAATTTTCCGGTAAATTTTGTAATTTTTTATTAAAAAAAAAGGTGATGTTAATGTTGAACATTTTACGGGTCCGGACTTTCTAGAATAGAGCAAAAACGGATCAAATGAAATAGTTAAGAGTTTTAATTTATTTTGTTTTATAGAAAAAAGATTTTTAAGTTCTTCTTTTTTTTTTAAGTTACAGAGAACTTTGAGGTGTATTTAAATATATAAAAATCAAATAATTGTAAAAAAAATATTTTTTAAGAAACTTTGTTTAATTGAAAAAAAAACCTTCATTCTAACCTCATATTTGGGGAGAATGAAATATGCAAACTGATGGGTGATTAAAAGAATAAATATTCTTTTGACAAATTGCCGAACTTTGTCTCTGCATAAAACTCTTGAAGTAATTGGCGCCAAACTCTTTTAACATGGTAATAAACACCAACATTTAGTGGCTGCAGAATATGTGACGAATTAGTTAGTAAGCTAATAGCAATATTTTGTTTTTTATACAAATAAGGACCCGATAGGTTACATGTGTCAAATGTCCATGTACGACTAAAATATGAGTACCTATAATTCGATAACCAAAGTTCGATTTATTTAACTAGATAATTAATTGATTAAACTAATTTTAAACAAATCGACTCAACTATTTACCTGGACTTTTTTTAATGGCAGGAACGTACACGCTAGTGAACCACTGCACGAATTGCTTATCGTCCATCAGTCTGGACGGAGATGCTGCGTATACGGCATCTTCTGGACCATTTAAAAATAATGTCACAAAACAATAACCAGCAGCATTGATTTAATTTTCGACTGTATAAATGTTTTTTTCATTGTTGCCAACTAATTTCAATGGTCTTTTAGCGTCAGCAAACTATTTGTTGCTTTCATTGATCACCAGAGAAGCTAACTTCATCAAAATTCCACAAAAGACATGAAATACTTTTGTTAATGCCTGCTTCGTTGAAGTCTCTTCGCCGTGTATTGAAATATGTGACTCTTAAAATGTGTGACTCTTATGCCACCATGAGACTTTGACAAACTGAAATTTCTTAATAAATTAAGTATACAAAATATCGCAACTAAAAGCGGTTTCTTGATGACAAGACCAAAATGGTCTTCTGCAAGTTTCCCGCGTCTTTTAACAGTGTTACTTTTTTATATATATTATTATTTGTATTAAAAAAAGTTTTCTTATTATATGTACGGTATTTTTTTTATACAATGTAAACGAACTAGTTTATATTTATGATCACGTATTTGTAAAGCTTTGATAAAAGACAAAAAAAAAAAAAAAAAAAAAAAAAAAAAAAAAAAAAAAAAAAAAATACTTTGCTACTATTTCTTGCGTGCAAGAAGCGGCTCTGAGTGAGAAAAAGCTTGTACCAATCTTTCCCTGGAGTACCGTTGAAAAACGGATGAAATTGATCTGTTACAAATAGTCGGTAACAAAAATGATGACGTGATTGAAAGTTTTACCATAGCCTCATTTTGATGAGTTTATCTACCAGAGTTGCAAAATGTTGTAACAATACTGTGTTTGAATCACTTTTAACTGTTTCACCTATGCCTTTGAAACGCTTATAAAGAGTTGGCGCTGGTATGCTGAATGATTGAGCAGCTATACATTTGATAAATAATTAATTTAAAAGTTAAATGAAGAATTTATAAAGAGTTATTGCTCAGTTAAGACATAATTATTTTACAAAAGCCCTATTAACCAAGCGAATAATTGTCATATTTCATTCAACCGGAAATAGCAAAATTATTTTGAAAAAAGATTCTTGACAGGCACTTTGTTTAATGCCATTTTTTTTTTAACTATTAGGCAAATAAAAACTTGAATTTAAAATTATGAATAAACTTATTAAAATTTTAGATCATCTTATTCATAAAACAATTCTCCACAACATGATCAAAAAATATTTGCAAAATTTCCATTCAATAAATAAGTAGGAGCAAAAGAATAAACATTAACATTACCATTTCATTCTATTGACTCTATATAATATTCAAATTGTATTAAAAGCTTTATTTTATCACATGTAATATTGCTGTTAAAATATATATATACTATGTTTGTTAATCTGACTATTCTTATAAAAAAAGTCTTTTTCATTTTATGTGTATAAAGTATTTTATGCACATAGAATGAAAAAAGTTCACCAGATTAGATTATGACGTAGTGATTATGACAGACTATGACATATGACACAGTAATACCAGATTATAGCGTATGATTTGTAGAACAAACATTTAAAATTAAAACCTTTTCAAAACTCGTAACATGAAAAGAAATATCTGATTTTAGAGAAGACATAAAATAGGTTTTTTAAAAAACAATATTTGGACAAAATAGCAATAATGTAGATAGACTGGTGCAGCCGATACTCCACGTGGATGTTATTGAGTGTATATTGTAAAAAATGTGTAAATTTAAAAAAGAATATCTAACTTAAAAAAAATTGGTAGAAAGTAAAACCCTATTCCTAAGACGGTTGCTTACTTTTTGATTCTCAGTCAAAAAAAAACGGATGCATATCTTGCATCGGGGCTTTAAAATTTTTAATTAATACCCTTTAATGAGTGAAGTTCACTATTTTGGACATCCACACCAAAAATACGTCATTTTTCAAGGAAGAGTCTTAGTAGAAACATAATTTTCGTATAATTGTCAAAGTTTAAAGTTGACCAGTTTAACAAAGTCCATTTTTAACAACAATTATCAAATAATATTGTTTTAAAACGTCATAAGCAATTGAAGTATTGCAAATAAAAGATGGAAGCTTAAAAAATTCTTAAACAGTATTTTGAATTAGTTTATTGTTATTTTTTTATGTTGTGGTTTTTGAAGGAGTAATCATAAATTTCTAGATTAGAATTGAATTTATAAATGTCTAGACCAGAATTGGTAGTATTTTTGCCGGATTTACAAAAAGGTATTTTATATCTCTATATTTATAATAAACCAACTTGATTTTAAATCCAGCAAAACTAATACAAAACAAAATAAAATCCTGGAGAAATGTAATTAGTTTCTTGCCGAAAAAACGTTCTTTAAGAACGTAACAAACCTATAGCCAGGGCCAACGACACGGGTTTTGAAGTGAGGGGGGGGGGGGGGGCAAAATGGTCTATTTCTAAATAAGATCCTCTATATCTACAATTTTCTTTTAAAAAAAAAAGTTTGTGTGTGTGCGTGTGTGTGGAGGGGGAAAGCATGCCCCTTTTCCATCTATAACCCCCTGGCGTTGTTGGCCCTTTTAGCTAAACAGGGAAGCAAAATATTAGGTTTGACAAAGAAGTAGAGATTGTAAAAATTTGATGTTATCATCGATAATTCTTTACCAAGTATCGAGGTAAAACTTTGATGTTTATTTTGATGTATCGAGATAAAAGACAATTACTTTACGTAGATTGTTGTGATTACTACTCGATAGTTGGAACAGTTGTTAAAAACTTATCTAGTCAACTTTTAAGAGACTAATCCATTTCAACGACAGCTTACAAAGGTTACAAATTATTTTTCAAAACTTTCATTTTTCAATGCCATTTGGACTTGTCGCTGGAATAATTATACAACAAAGACTACGATTTTAAACGATTTTCGGCTTCGTTCTTTCTCCATTCTATTAAACCTCCTTGATTAATAACTGTGCATTTTTTGATATCAGTGGAAAATTATGAGATGTGTTTTGAAAGGATGTATTGAAGTGTAATACATTTCCTAGCATTATTTGCGAAGTCAAATATGTCTACCAAATAAATATTTATCATCTTCTATTTATTTTCAAAATTATTAAAAATGTTTCTTCTAAAAAATTTTATCGGCATACTCAAAATAAATCGGAATTGATATCTAACTATATTCGCAAATAACTCCAAAGTTGTTTTTCGGCGACTGAGAATCAATTTTTACTAAAGCACCAAAATTAAGAAAAAAAATACAAACTAATAAATTAAAAAAAAATTCCAACGCATGAGTTTAAGGCCAACTTAAAGCAAAAACTATTAATGAACTTAGTTTTTTCTGAAGTATCAATAGTTGCTACTGATAAACTTACCCAACAACTAGAGGTTTGTTTTATCATCTTGGCGATCTTAGAAAAGATCTTATTATAGCTTCCATTCTTCTTATATAAAAAATTATGATTTATAATTTTTTTTTTGATATTTTAAGGTATATGGTTTTAAAGAAAAGCTTCACAATTATGCGTGTTAGATTGCATTCATTTTAAGAATATAGTTTTTATTGTACTAAATATTTTATCCTTGTATTTAAAATCTTTCTAATAATACAAAAATAAAAAGTTAAAGTAAATTGATTTTTATTTATAAAGTTTTTATGAAAAACTTTGTAGAATAACCATTTTTTTAATTTTTGTATTTTCTTATTTACGGTATAGATTAAGGAGCTTGGCGATAAGACTAATTGTCTGCTTCTTACCCCTGCTATTTGCATTTACTTTGTTTTACGGCTTAAATATATGGCGAAAAAAAATTATAAAAAGTGAAGGTAGAGTTAAAAATAGTTGGCTGGTTGAATTCTAAGTTCCATACCTCGTTTCCCCTAAGTGCTCAAAGCAATTAACTTTCGTCGTTTCGGTTGAAATCGAGTAAACAACTCAACAATTGCAAACCCCTAATTACTTGTTTAAAGTTTTCTTTTAAAAAAAAAACAATTTTCTTTTATAACGAAAGTTTACCCTTTCGGATTTCAAATGTACGCGGAAAATTTGAATTAAAACTTAGCCGGTAAACTTAAGTCAGCAGTAATAGCTTGACGGTTGAAAATTATCCAGTAGTTGTTTAAATTTGTCAAGCGATGTTGTTAAAACAACTTTATAATCGGTCAGCCTAACAAAATATTAATTTCGATATTCATTCATATAAAATCATAAAAAAAAAAAATTTTCAATTATTGACAATTATTTTTGCTTAAATTCACAAATTAATGATTTAAATTATTTAATTCATAACTCAAATATATTATAAAATATATACAAATCTATATAAAATCGACTTGAAATATTTTTATTTGACATAAATCTGGTAAAAAAAAAATCAAAACATTTCTCAAATAAACAAATTATTTTTTTAATATTACTCATGTAAAAAAACACCTTACCCCTATCCCCCGTCACAAAAAAATATTATCTAAACAATTAAACAAAGGAAATATAATAAAATAAACAAAGGGAATATTATAAACAGGGGTCAAGCTATCCAATTATAGGAGAACTGACAAACTCAATATATGCATCAGTTATTGGAAAAATGGTTTCCGTTTCAAATAAAACAATAATATTGTCTTTCTGAAGGACGTGACGTGGAATATACAAAGTTTTTTGCGGACCAATCCACCAGTAACGCCCAACATTAAAAGCATTCACCACGGAAACTCCCTAAGAATATATATATATATATATATATATATATATATATATATATATATATATATATATATATATATATATATACATATATATATATACATACATATACATATACATATACATATATATATATATATATATATATATATATATATATATATATATATATATATATATATATATATATATATATATACACATATATATATATATATATATATATATATTTATATATATATATATATATATATATATATATATATATATATATATATATATATATATATATATATATATATATATATATATATATATATATATATATATATATATATATATATATATATATATATCTCAATTTGAAAAATATTATGCTAAAAATCGTTATTCAAACCTTTCTCCAAATGTCCAGTTTTAAAAAAGTATCTGTTGGTTCTATCAAAATACTTAAATTGAAGAAATAAAATGCTGGACTAGCAACTTGAGAACTAATGACAGCAACATTTCGAACGTTTTTAAATACATCGTTGTCTAATACATGTTTAACTTCTACATCAATACGTTCACCGTTCCATAAAACGTCACCTAAAATTCCCTTTTAAAAAAAATTCAACTTAAGTGTCAAAAAAATATTCTATGGCATCAAACAATTTCAAATTAAATGCTCTAACAGATTTGCTTTACCTTATTTGTATCTGTCATAAATGGACCATAGTTCACTCGTCCTTGATTTTCTACCTAAAAAGTAAAAATTCAATTAGGAAATCCAAAGAAGAATTAGTTTGAAATATTATATAAAACTATTGTATTTTAAATGTTTGCTTATGTGAAAATATTATAGATTAATATTTGATTCAAATGTTTTTCTTAAAGTAACTGTAATTATATAAAAAAAAAAAAAAAATGATAAAAATAATTCAGCTAGTTTAACATGATATTTATTCCAACAAAAATGTTTTCTGAAAGCATATTTACATTCGGCAAAATTACATAATTAAAATAAATAACACAACAAAATCAATTAGCATAGTAGGGATAAACAAGGCAAAAATACCTAGAAAATACGATTTTACTGAAAATAACACAAAGATATTGTCCGAGTTTTTTTATATTTAAAAACAAAAACAAAAAATCCGTTATTAAACATATATTTTCTTGCGTTTTCAAGATTTTAGAAAATTTAGGCTTTTTTAAAATTCTGACCTTCCTGTTTGAGATTTTAGAAAAAATTTCAAATTTTCACACTAATTACGAACTCCCACTTATAGAAAAAGTTTACAGAAGTTTCCAATCAATATATATTGTCCTTTTTTGGTTTAATATAAAATTTGATTATTGGTTATCGCCCTAATATTGTGTTTCAATTTTAGTAATAAACCTTTGTTTTTGATCACACACATAAGCAGTGAATGCCTCAATGGAAAATGAAATACATTAGAATAAATGAAAATTATTTCACTAACTAAGAATATTTAGACAGTTGATAAAAAATTAAGATTAATAGAAGAGTAATTAAAGATAAAAATAAGAAAGACAAAAATAAGAATGACAAAAATAAGACAAAAATAAGAAAGACAAAAATAAGAAAGATAAATAGCCCAAAACAAGACTTGAAAAAATTTGGTTTTTATGCCTAATCAAAACAGTTCATCGTTGATAAAATTTATTAATTACGACTAAATCAGATCCAAATTAATTTTATCAAACCGAAATCTCTTCGAAACCAAATTCAATTAAATCTGTTTAAGTTAGTTATTAGTGATTCAAACATCTATAATCAAGTGCACCATGGGATCAAGTGCAACTTGATAGTAAAAAAAAAAAAAAAATATAAACTAAAATGAATTAGTAAGTGAACTTAAGTTTATTTAAAAACTAAGAAAAATAAACTGCTTTGATTGAATAAAGAATGTAATACAACTTACCATAATACTTAACTCAATTTGGTTGACTGAACAGTTCAACAAAATACTATTATTTGAGTTTCTATCCAAAACTCCTTGTAAAACCTACAGATAAAACATTTCATTATGTATTGTGATTATATTCATACTATGTTACTGAATATATTTTTATGTCATCATCATGATCATTATTATAAAGATCGTCATGATCATCATTATAAAGATCGTCATGACCATCATTATAAAGATCATCATAATCATCATTATAAAGATTGTCATGACCATCATTATAAAGATCATCATGACCATCATTATAAAGATCGTCATAATCATCATTATAAAGATCATCATTATAAAGATCGTCATCACAATAATCATGATCATCATGATTATTATCATACATTCATATTATCAATTGACAAACTTTGTCAACAATGATATAAGAGCGGTCGTGAAATTTCGTCAATTGCAGCAAATTTGCATTTTGATGACACAAAACCAAAGCATTGTAGAGAACATAACCATATGCAACGTCTAAATCTTCAAATGATAAAGAAGTACTTTCATACCTTCTTTCTCTACTCATCTCATCAAGTGCATCAAATATTGAAACTACCTAAAGAAATAAAAAATATCACAAGTTTGGAGCCAAAAAACACACACACATATTTAATAGGTCCTTAATATTAGTTGGGTCTTAAATTAAGTGAAATTGTATAAAAATTTCAAAAATTATATTCATTTTGAAAAAATTTTAACTTATCAAAATTATCATAAAAAAACATAAAAATTCCTTTTTTTTTTAATTTTTTGTTAAAAAACGTAATTTTTTAAGTAATAAAACCAAAAATAACAATTTTTTTCAAAATGAATATTATTTTTGAAATTTTTATATAATTTCACTTCATTTGAGACCAGGTTGACATATTTTTACAAAAACTTTTTTTTTGAAAATATTAGGGACCCATTAAATATTCGAGGGTCTTGAGGAACCCCTTAAAATATTTTTTATTCAAAAAAATTTTAAATCTAGCGTTTTTGTATTAGATAGAACACATTTAGAGGGTGAGAGCAGGTTTTTCTCAAAAAAGTTGTTTTAAGGGCCACCCTAATATATATATATATATATATATATATATATATATATATATATATATATATATATATATATATATATATATATATATAAATATATATACATATATATAGACACACACACACACACACACATACATACATAGACACACATATCAATGGACCATTAGATATACACTGTTGACGTCATACTGACATAGGGAGCTGCAATGTCTTTAGAACATATATCTACAGACTGAATATGGAGTGATACTAACATGCAAGGGAGTGCTGCTGCATCAATAAAGGTTTGGATTAAGGTAACAATTGTTTATTTTTGTTAATTTTCAAACTTACTTTTTATGTAATATATATAAAAATATATGTAAACATATCTATATGTGTATATATTCAACATAAGATAAAGATAAAATAATAACAACTGCATTATGTTTACAAATTTAGGCTACATATATATAGCAATCAGCAGCAAAAAATAACATAAAATTTTTGATAAAAAATATTTCATCATTAAATGTAGTATAAATATCAACAACTTTAAAGAAACAAATTAATTTTTTTTTTAATAATTTATCACAATTTAACTGTCTTCTGATTATTAAGTAAGAAATTTGATGAATATTTTTTCCCAAAAAAAATTATATAGTATAGTATTTTTACCTGTTGCTATTTGCATGAAATATGATAGTTGTTTTAAAAACAACAACTAAATAAGTTAAAAAAAGAAATAAAAAACAAACTAAAATACCTTATAGGCATATAATTTACCATATGCTGTTTTCTCTGTGGGCTTAGGCTGTGGACCAGGAGGAATAGGCAAATATTTTGATACAACATGTTGAATAGCAAAATATTTTTCAGTTGGGTCTCCAGCCTCAGATAAAGGAGCATCATAGTCATAACTTGTGGGCTGTGGTTGAAGACTATTGCTATCTTGGTTTGCTCCATTCATAAAACCAAAGTTTGTACCACCTACAATAAAAAAAATGCGTTAAATAGAAATAAAATTAAAAGTATTATTCAACACAAATCTGAATTCAAAACTCGATAACAAAACAAAAACTGTATTTAAATATAGAAAATCACCTTCAAACATGTACATATTTACAGAAGCATTAAGTGAAAGCATTTTATCTAATGTATCAGTAACATCCTCCAAACTAGTGTGCGCATGTTGTCCTCCCCAGTGATCTAACCATCCTGTGTAAAATTCTGAATTTACCTAAACATGTATTATTATTATCTACAAAAATGACAAGCATAGTTTATACCAACAATTAATTTTATCTCTTTAATATTGGTTACTTAACATACATTTAAAATGGCAAGCATAGTTTATACCAACAATTAATTTTATCTCTTTAATAATGTTAATTAACATACATTTAAATGGCAAGCATAGTTTATACCAACAATTAATTTTATCTCTTTAACATTGGTTACTTAACAAATTATTTTTTAAATTTTAAAACATCGATTTATTTGCATAAGATTAAATTGAACTATTTGAGATTAATATATGATTAATATAACTATTTGAGATTAATATATGATTAATATAACTATTTGAGATTAATATTATTATTAATGTCAAATTACTTTTAACTTATAATACTTTCCTCTATGATTTATAGACAAATGGCGATTACAAAATTATGTTGTAAGTTAAAGCCAAAATTTAAATACCAAGCTAACTTATTAAAAAAAAAAAATCTAAAAGAACTTGATAGATGGTCTCAATTAAAAAATTAAAATCTTTATTAAAATCTCGTCTAAAAGAACTTGTTCTAAATTGATTTTGCACAATCTGTTTAGTGTATGCTCATTGGAAACTGTCTTGATACCATCACAGAAAATTCAAAGGAGTATAAAATTCAATAATATTCATAATATTCAAAGGAATACAAAGTTAAATTCCCTTTTACAGTTAAAAAAATTACTAAAGGGGAAACTTCATAAATATTTGTACATTTTAACTAACCCATTACTTAAATTTTTATTAGAATCTATAAATAAAGACAACAAGTGCAGTTCTAGACAAAAAATTTTTTTCTCCATGAACTTACCAAAGGACCAAGAGGCTGATACTTGCGTTGGATATCAAAATAAAGTTTTGGTTCTGCTGTTGGTCCAAAATCAACAGTGGCAAAAAGTGGCTTAATTGTTCCACACTTTAAGTAACTGTCCCCTGCACCATCAGTTGTAAACAAAATAACATTTTCACCTAGATATTTCCTAAAGATGGATTCCAGTTTATACATGTATTCATGATCACATCCGTAGCTACCATACTCATTTTCAACCTGATGATTATAAAAATAAATCAGTAACATTTTGAAATTTAATTAAAACTTAATTATAAATCTTATCAATAGCATAATTAAAATTAATAAAAAAATAACACAAGAGTATTAATGGGGTATATTTGATAAAGCAAATGCATAGCAGAAAAAGGAATTGATTTTTAAGATTATTTTCTTATTATTATCATAAGTAATTAAAAAAAAATTAAGAAAAAAGATGTGTAGCCTTGTTGGAAGTGAAAATGTTAAAAAAAAAACTTCCTTATTATGAAATTGTCTAATATGTGAAAAAATCTACTTTAATCAGTTATCAATAAAATTTTATTGAACTAATTTAAACTTTTCACGCTGAATTACCTGAACAGTGATTATTGGGCCACCATTCTCATACAAATAAGGTCGAAGGCCTGATAGCAATACCGACATATAATTTTCAACTTTCTGAAGATATAAATTATCTGAAGTCCTTAGTTGCATGGTTTTATTTCCTACTTTTTTTAACAGCCAGTAAGGAAAACCCCCGAATTCCCATTCAGCACAAATATAAGGACCAGGTCGCAGAATAACTAAAAGATCATATTTTTGGGCAAGTTTAAGGAACTTAAAGACATTTTGCTGACCACCAAATTGGAAGTTACCTTCAGTTGGTTCATGGAAATTCCAAGGAATATACCTAAAAATGAATACATGCATATATGTATGTATGTATATATATATAAATATATATATATATATATATATATATATATATATATATATATATATATATATATATATATATATATATATATATATTTGTTCAAACTTTTTTTTTTTTCAATTTAATTTAATTTTTTTAACACATTTTTAAACATGCAAAGTGCTGTGGCCAAGTTGTCAAAACAAAACATTATGCGTGGTTAGATAAGCTTTACAACCACAAACCTTTCTTTAGAATGCTTTTATATATATATGTATATATATATATATATATATATATATATATATATATATATATATATATATATATATATATATATATATATATATATATATATATATATATATATAACAGACAACACGATAATTTAAAACATTGACTCTCCTATTCTTTTTACAAAAATCTTTTATTTTGTTTGTTTTCTTTGATTAAATTGCAAACATGAGCTATGAAAAAAATCCAAGTTAAATATTTACCAGGAATAATAATATTGTTGCGTTATTGAATTCAAAATACCTATCTACATTTTTAACTGTTTAAGGATATATATATATATATATATATATATATATATATATATATATATATATATATATATATATATATATAAATATATATATATATATATATATGTATATATATATGTATATATATATGTATATATATATGTATATGTATATCTATATATATATATATATATATATATATATATATATATATATATGTATATATATATATATACATACATATATTTATATATATATATATATATATATTATATATATATATATATATATATATATATATATATATATATATATATATATATATATATATATATATATATATATATATATATACATACACACACATAAATATACAAGTATATATAAATAAACAAGCTCCTTAACTTAACTGGATATAATATATAATTTATATAGATATAACTATATATATTAACTAAATATATATGTTAATGGATATAACTATATATATATATATATATATACTAACTGGATATAACTATATATATCAACTGGATATAACTATATATATAAATAAACAAGCTCATTAACTTGAAAGATTAATAGTTTGGCGTAAAAATAAAACAAAAAACTGTTTGAGCACTCTGTATATATATAATCACATCATAAAAAAATAAGTTAATAACATTCTTAGAAATGAGAATAAACTAATACTCCCAACTATTTTTTTTGTATTAGACGTTTCATGTCTTTTTTTACTAGAATTACTGGACAATTACTGGAGCTCTCTACTAGCTATCTGACCTTGAATGTATGTGTCTCTTTTAACCTGACCAAAGACATGACAAGCACTTTCAGAAGTCATTTTTACACATCTTTTAACAAATTGTGTATGAGAGACTTAGTTACTTTCATTAGAGTGTTAATAAATTCTTTAACTGATTCAGTTGATAAATTACATGTTAGATGCGGTTCTGTGACGTCACTCTAGTCTATAAGTTTAGACAAACAGGTTACTTCCATGAGTATAGTGGGAGTCTTTTTAATCCTAAAAAATCTATATCCAAATTGAAATGCATCATTTCCAGCACCTCATAATTCAACTATTTTATTAACAGCTTCTCTTCTTTCATCTTCAACTTGACTGCAGAGCATACTTTGAAACACTGATTCAGAATGAGCATACCATGCTGATCTTTTAAAAGTGGGTAAAACAATGCAATTACCTCCTGAGTTTAATTTTTTAGTAATTGCATTTGTTCAAGTAAGTTGATCGGTCCCTCCACCAAACTTGACTTTACTTCAATGTTGAACCAATTAGGAACATACACACCAACAATATACTCAACTATCATTTTTAACTTATTTAAAAGCTCACCTGTTAATCCATGATTAGACGCCCATATTCTGCAAAATCTTAAATGACAATCCCTAGGACAGAACTCTAGTTTTAATAGATGTCACAATTTGGTATGCTCTGATTGGTAGTCAGATCTTTAATAATTTTAGGATCAAGATGGATAAGAGGAGAAGTTTCACAAAGTTTTATAAATTGTGGATTAATTTTAAGGTTTGAAGCATTATTTAGCATCTTACCAAGTGGTCCTGACCAATTATTGCTGGATTTAGTATGACCATCAAGAAACTTAATTAGACTTCGTAACCCTAGTTCCCCAGTGTGTAAGTCACATACAATCCATACAAGTTTCCTATTTTCTTTGGAGTTTTGAAGTCAACTCTTTTCCAATTTTTTCTTGAGCTCGTCTAACTTTGTTATGATCAATAATATAGTTAGTATTACCTTCTGTGATAAATTTAGCATCGATAAGGGCAGCAGTTGCTATTTCTGCAGTTTCTCTTAACCCTGTATGATGCCTTAAGTTTGCTAATGCTACATTACTTATATTTATGGTGTTATATTCTTTTACTTTCTTTTTTCTGAAATATTTATTTGAAACACCAGAGACTTCGTTTGAGTCACTTTTGGGTAAGAAGATCTCATTTTCTTTATTTAAAATTTCCTGATCTTTTTTTAATTTTTTTATTTGTGATGAGTGATTTTCTATTGAACACCTTTTCAAACTTTTGTTTTATTTCTTAGTTTCAATGTAATCAATGCCACCTATCTGATGCAAAACTTTGGTTCCGATTTTTTCTCTTTAAAATCTAACAAAATTTAATTCAAGGAGAGGTATTTTTTGATCTTTTTTACAAGCACATTCAATGTGCGCTTTTCTGTCAAAATTTTCTTTACAATTAATCTCTATACAAAACATAATTTTTTAATTGCAAGTAAACAAATCAAAAAGTTAATCAAGTCTTTCCATAAACCTTTCTGTAATTGATATAGCTTCATTACTACTACTAACTTTAACAGCTAATAACCAATAAGCTCTTTTACTTTATATTTAACTCTTCGTTCAGAATTTATAACTGGACTTATGGATTTAGCATTTGCTTTTTTCCACTGCGACAAAATTCAGGGAACAATTTTCTTAACAAGCTGATCAACATTATAGTTTCTGTGGTCTTTTTCACTTATCTCCCTTAAATACATTCCATACTTTAGGACATCTCAAGAGGTTGGGAGTTCAGATGGAAGAAACTCTGAACCTTTTCCAATCAATTTAGTTAGCTGATAAGCTGATTTACTTCTGGTTTTGAGGGTTTTTAACATCTTTCGTTTAATTAATTTAAAAAATCAAGTTTTTAGAACTGAGAACCTTTTTATAAATATAACAAAATAAACAACTTTTGCAAAACAAAGAGTGAATGTTTAAAATTTAATTTTTGTTAGTGTGTTGTCCATTAAACTAAATTTTGAAAATTGGTCTTTTGCATACGGTCTAAATTTTGTTTTTTAGATGACTTGGTGAATAACTGCGTTCTTCTTCGAAGATTACGGAAAATTTCAGTTTTCAAAAATAAAAACTTGTCCACAAAAAACAAAGTTTCAAAACAAAAAAAAGTAGCTTAAAATTATTTTTTTATAGAAAAAAAATTATTTTCATGCTTTTCATACTGATTTACATAAAAAAAGCCATAATCTAATTTCCAAAAAAAGTAAAAATCGACACACCCTAATTTATATATATATATATATATATATATATATATATATATATATCCTTATCTTGTAGTCAAAAGAGACTTTTAATGTATAAAAAAGTCTCTTTTGACAACAACTTTTGCTACCTCGACAATTAAGCTACATTTTATTGTTGTTGAAATGTCAAAACAATTAAATTAATGTGGAAGTAAATTAAATTTTATTGTTTTTTAAAAAACCGTCCGACACGTCTGCCAAGCAAGAAGACGTGTTTTTGTTAGTTATACACGATTTTTTTTAAAAAAAAGATTTAAAAAGTGGATTAATAATAAATTTTCAACTTCAACATTTATAAAGAACTTCAAGATAAGAAACTCAAAGCACTTGATGCTATAGTAAACGACTTACTGAAGCGAAATGAACTCTTAGAGAAGCGTATATCTGAACTAGAAAATGAAAAAATAAATAATCAAAGTTTTAAAGTTTTGTTTAGCAGTCTTTTTACTGCTAATAAACCAAAGATAAATGAGCAAGAGGCAATATTTCTAAATGCTGACTCTGTTGAAACATTTGAAAGGGCAAAAAGAGAAAAAAAGTTGTTATTTTTTGGTATTAATGAATTGAAAGAAACAGATGTAAACAAAAAAATAGACAACAATAATAACGCAATTACTGAAATATTTACAGTTCTTAAACTTGATAATGAGAAAATTACGCGTCATTATTGTTTTCATTCAAAAAATGAAAAGCCAGGAATTATAATTGTCGAAATGGACAATAAACATTCCGCTCAAGAAGTAATTAAAGAAGCCAGCAAATTGAGTAAAATCAATGAATATAGAAATAAAGTTTATATTAACCCTGACCTCACTTTAGCGCAATGAGAAAGTAAAAAATTATTAATTGCGAAAAGAAACAAATTGAATAATAATCAAACTGAAAATCAGCCCTTTCAATTCATCATTAAAGATGAGAAAATTATCAAAATTAAAATTAATAAAAATGGCTAACCAAAATTCAAAAAATTTTAAAAGAAATGTAAAAATTAATAAGTACAACATCAGTAACAATAAAAATAACAATAATACTAAAAGCAATGATTTTGAATCTTCAAACAATAAAAATCAATTAAACAAACTAAAATCCAGCATTTTAGTTTGTTTAATTATACAAATGCAACTTCTATTAACAACTCAATTAAATTATCTCTATTTATTAGTGAAGTTATTACATTAAATATTGACTTAATAATGGTATGCGAAACTTGGTTTCAATCTAGTACTTATTTAGATTTACCTGGGTACACAATATATAGGAGACCAAATTGACGGTAGAAGAGGGGGAGGTGTTTATTTTTATTAAAAGAACTATTGAATCTTCTGAAATTTCTAATGTCATATTTAATAAAACATTTAGCATATTTGGAGCAAAATAAAATT